AGCCCAGCAGGTCGAGGCTTCGGTGGCCGGGAGCGGCCACTGCACTCCAGTTTGGGCGACCGAGTGAGACTCCAACTCAAAAAATAAAAAAAAAATTAAAAAAAAAAGGAATTTGTTCATAGTTTTTTTTTTAAACTATAGTCCGCCCCTCCAACTGTCTGAGGGACAGTGAACTGGCCCCCTGTTTTAAAAGTTTGAGGACCTCTGCCTCAATGGGTCACCTGGAAACAAACTTGTTTGACTGTATTCCTGAGCAAAAACAGTTGAAGCACAGACACCCTTCTTTTTTGACATGTATTTGGGGATAGGTAGGCAGATACTACTTGGTTTTTTTAAAAACTGACCTTCCCTTAAGACCTGGTCATAGAAGTGCAAACAAGTGTAAATGAATCCACCATTACCAGTTGTCATATCATATCTATGTCACCTGTGTATTCCGAGATCGCACACATACCTGCCAATATACCTGGAAAGGGTTTAACTCTTAAAGACAGTGGTATTGGCTGGTCCCAGTGCAGAGTGTTGACAACTAATTGATCGAAACCATATGTAGATTTCTTTGTCTCCTCTTCGTTACCATTGTTTCACTTCATTAGCTTTAAAAAAAGAAGTGCTATCTCTTTCATAGGCTTTATTCTTTATTAAAACCAACAAGCCAGCCTAACTTTAGAAACCTTATTTTATTTCATTTTTATTTTAGAGTTTGGGGATCTTGCTCTGTTACCCAGACCGGAGTACAGTGGCATGATCCCTGATCACTGCAGTCTCAGCCTCCTGGGCTCAAGTGATCCTTCCACCTCAGCCTCCTGAGTAGCTGGGAACAGGTGCACGCCACCACAACTGACTGATTTTTTAATTTTTTTTTTTTTTTGTAGAGACAAAGTCTTGCTATGTTGCTCAGGCTGGTCGTCAACTCCTGGGCTGAAGCAGTCCTCCCACTTTGGCCTCCCATAGTGCTTGGATTACAGGCGTGAGCCACCTTGCCTGTAGACCTTATTTTGTTTGTTTGTTTTTTGAGTTGGAGTCTCCATCGCCCAGGCTGGAGTGCAGTGGCACGCTTATGGCCACTCCAGTGTTAACCTGCTGGGCTCAGGTGATCCTTCCGCCTCAGCCTTCCAAGTAGCTACAGGTGTGCTCTACCACGCCCGGCTAATGTTTTGTTTTATTGTAGCGAGAAGGTCTCACCATGTTGCCCAGGCTGGTCTCGAACCCGCGGGCTCAGGCAATCCTCTCATCTCAGCCTCTCAAAGTGCTGGGATTATATGCTTGAGCCACCATACCTGGCCCTAGACCTTATTTTTAAAAGGGCTTTATTTCTTGTAGGTTATAAAGTATTAAATGTTAGAAATATTGCTTTGTCAGCTGTTATTGAGGGGAAAAAGGTAGGTGAAACTATTTTTAAAAATGTCATTAAGCCGCTGCATGTGTGAGCACATGTTCACAGGTCATAGGAGTTCTTCCGTGGCAACTGGAGCTGTGTTGATGACAATGCAGCCGTTTCTCTGGTTGCAGTTCTGTCCCTTCCGAGAGCGTGTCAGGTAATCGTTGCTTTTGCAGTGCCGTTATGTGAGCTCGAGGGATGTTCGTTGTTTTTGCTTCACTAATATGCTTAAATAAAATGTATTAGAGAAACAAAACTTTTATCTCTTCTAGAAGCCCAGTTAGAGATTTGACAAGATAACTTGGAAATCACTCGTGCTCTCGGCTTTCTCTAGCCTATGATGATTATAGTGAAGGATGTTTTGATGAAGAGAATTCTTTTTTAAATTTAAGCAGTGTAGAGTTGCAAACTTTTTAGGAAAAGATGGCTTTTGACCATTGTCAGCACTTTATTTTTAGTGCTTTAGTTTGCTTTTGCTAGTTTTTTGAATTATATTTCACTCTGGTATTCCAACAGGAAGTTTTTCTAAGTTCCTGTTTAATGTATATGTGATGCATTTGTTTCCGCATGTTGGCTTTTCGGGGGTGTTGCGACTTGTGTTTAGAAAATTAAACAGTGACATTTTAAAGACACATTGTGCCGGTATCTATAACTTGAATAATCGCTCCCTTCAGGTTTGTAGCTATACTACAATTTTCAAGGTGCTGAGGATCATTTTGAAAGTGCTTGGAGTAAATTTCTCCACCTGCACAGCCTTGATTTTTCCCAAAGCCTAGACAACAGACAGGCCGTGTTAAAATAGACACTTATTTCCAGTGTCATATCTAAGGTAAATTCTGGCAGACCTCAAGGTCTGTGAATCTCAGATTTATTTTGCCCCTTGTTCTGCAGACGTTCCATTTAGTGTACTTTAATTAGTCTTTAGAGCAATTTGAATAAAGGTAAATTCATCACATCCTGATATGAATGTGTACAATTTTTAGGTTCTCATATGCAGTGGCTACTTAAAATCCAAACGTTATCCAGACACTGGTGATATCTTTGTCTGAAGATCTCTTGTGTAAAATTACCTCGTAATACCTGTTTTATAGTTTCAGAAACTGACTCTTATTCTGAAGATTTCATTGTACTCTTTTTTTCTGAGTAATTATGAAGTACCTATAAAGCATTGCATGTTATAAGGATTTCCTGCATACTAATTCCTTCCACATGTTAGCCTCCCAATAAATGCCTACAAACGACAATGTCAGGATTGTGGAAGCAGGTCTATTATTTCCAACTGCCAACTGGTTTCTGAATATCAGTCCCATGTTTAAAATTTCAACTTTATATATGTCATCACTGTGAAGTGAAGTGGGCTTTCTGACCTTTATTCTTTTTTTTTGTTTTTCAACAGGGGAAAATGCAGTGTTGCCCTTCTGAATGAGACAGAGTCAGTATTGTCATATCTTGATAAAGAGGTAATTCCCAGTCATACTCGTTTTGTAGGTTTTTTTCCCCCTTCATCTCACACGAAGCTAATTTATTATTTTTTTGTACCATAGTATTGTACCATTATAGCTGTATTATAGTAAATGTGTGATGACTGGAAGGCATTTGGGTAATTTAATTTTTCTGTTTAACTGAGATAAGAGTTAGCAAAAACTCCTGTGCAATTCAGTCCACAATGAAAGACTTTATAAAGAACAGCTTATGATTTAGTTGATAGTAGATAAATATTTTCTGCCTTATGAAACTACTTTAGTGTACTTGGATCTTTTTGGTTTTGGTTTTTAAATAAATGGCTTTTCTTTTAGATTTTGTTCAGATGAGATTTTTTTACCATTTGTGATCTGCTTTCTGGAATCTTGATAAATTTTGTCAGTTAAAAATAATCTTTAGCCGGGCTCGGTGGCTCAGCCTGTAATCCCGCGCCTTTGGGAGGCTGAGGTGAGTGGATTGCCTGAGTCCGCGGGTTCGAGACCCGCCTGGGCAACTTGGCGAGACCTCATCTCTACAATAAATCAAAAATTAGCCGGGCGTGGTAGCGCGCACCTATAATTCCAGCTACTCGGAAGGCTGAGGCGGAAGGATCGCCGGAGCCCAGCAGGTCAAGGCTGCATTGGCCGGGAGCAGCCACTGCGCTCCAGTCTGGGTGACAGAGTGAGACTCCAACTCAAAAAAAAAAAAAAATCTTTTAGCTGGGTGCAGTGGCTCACAGCTATAATCCCAGCATTTTGGGAGGCCAAGGCAGGAGGATCACTTGAGGCCAGAATTTGAGACCAGCCTGGATAACAGAGCAAGACCTTATTTCTGTCCCCCAAAAACAAAAAAGAAAACAAACAAACAAAAAAAAACTAACAAACAACTGGACATGGTAGTGTGTGCCTGTAGTCCAGGCTACTTTAGAGCCGATCACAGGAGTTTGAGGTTACACTGAGCCATGATTGTGCCACTGCACTCTAGCCTGGGTGACAAAGTAAGACCTTGTCTCTAAAATAAGTGAAATATTTTTAATAAAACCTTAACAAGAAGCACATTTAACAAGTTGGATTAGGGCATGCACTTCATTGAAGGAGGAACATTCTCATTAACAGTATTCTGTGGTATATGTAGTTTTATATGACCTTGAAAGCAATATTATGGGTATTATAATAAAAATATTTTACTGTTCATGATGTTTTGGTATTTGGTCTTTATGATTTTATGGTTATTTTCCCTCAAAATTTTTATTATATATATGTATTTTTATTTTATTTTATTTTATTTTTGAGTTGGAGTCTCACTCTGTTGCCTAGGCTATAGTGCAGTGGCACGCTCCCGGCCACTGCAGTCTCGACCTGCTGGGCTCCAGTGATCCTTTCACCTCAGCCTTACAAGTAGCCGGAACTACAGGCATGTGCTACCACACCCAGCTAATTTTTTATTTATTGTAAGGTTGAGGACTGGCCAAGTTGCCCGGGTGGGTCTCAAACCCGTGGGCTCAGGCAGTCCACTCTCCTCCGCCTCCCAAAGTGCTGGGATTACAGGCTGAGCCACGGAGCCTGGCCATATGTATTTTTAAAAAGAATTAAAGGAATTTTTTCCTGCTATAAAAAATATATCTTACTTTACTCAAGTATTATCCCTTTATCTCAAATGAAGAAACTATAACAGTAAAAAATTAATACAAACATACAGAACCTACTATATATTAGAAAACCTAATAAAGAAAACCAAAAGGAAAATATATATTCAAAGTAGAGAAAAGGTTACTAGACTTTATAACATGTCTCACAATAATGTATAATAATATGGATAATGATAATACTTAGAAATTAGCTTAGTTCACAGAAGGTAAAACTTTCCATATATTTATTGTTTTTTGTTGGTATAATCTGGCTGTTAAGAAAGGAATAAAGTTTTTAAAAGAGTTATGTGTTTTCCTTATTTATTGTTAGCAATTTTTATATGCTTGAAACTTTATTTTTTATTTTAGATACAGTGTCTTGTATTGCCTGGACTGGGGTGCAGTGGCATGATCACGACTCACTGCAACCTTGAACTCCTAGGCTCAAACAACTTCTTTGTGTACATGCTAAAAAGACGTTAGTACATGAAAATTAGCAAAAGATGTTTAGAATTTTCCTCATCCACTTGATTTTTATCCTCTTAGTCTTATGTCAGTCTTTGGGACAGGAACTGACCTCTGGCAGTGTATTTAAGGAAGCATTTATTTGCAGGATGAGCAGTTTAGAAAACTTTATTCAGTTTGAAAACCAGGCCAGGTGCAGTGGCTCACGCCTATATTCCCAACATTTTGGAAGGCAGAGGTGAGATGATTGCCTGAGCCCACTGAATCGAGACCAACGTGGGCAACATGGCGAGACCTCATCTCTACAGTAAATCAAAAAATTAACCGGACATGATGGTGCACTCCTATCATCTCAGCTACTTGAAAAGCTGAAGCAGAAGGATCACCTGAACCTACCAGGTCGAGGCTGCGGTGGCCGTGAGTGTGCCGCTGCACTCTAACCTGGGCGACAGAGTGAGATTCCAGCTCAAAAAGAAAAAAAATATTAGCCAGGCTCGGTGGCTCAGTTTGTAATCCCTCGCCTTTGGGAAGCTGAGGTGAGTGGATTGTCTGAGCCCGCGGGTTCGAGACCCACCTGGGGAACTTGGCGAGATCTCATTTCTAACCATAAATCAAAAATTAGCCGGGCGTGGTAGCGCACGCCTGTAGTTCCAGTTACTTGGAAGACTGAGGTGGAAGGATCGCCAGCGCCCAGCAGGTGAGGCTGCGGTGGCTGGGAGCGGCCACTGCACTCCAGTCTGGGCGACAGAGTGAGACTCCAACTCAGAAAAAAACAAAAAAGAAAAAAAAATTAAGATTAAAAAAAATAAGTAAAATAAAATAGCACAGAATATCCCAGTGAGTGGAATGACTTTGTTTTTTTCTTCCTCTCCTGTTCACAGTATGTGAGTATCCCTGAGGGAGAGTGCTGTACAGTCTGACATGGCCTTTATCTGTAGCTTGGGTGGCTGTGTCTTGGTAACATGCTGATGGTGGGACAGGCCATTCTAGGACATAATACATAATCTCATAATAGAGAGCTGTGCAGTAAGCAACCTTTGGGATTGTACTGGGAAGCAGAAGACAGGACTTTGCTGGTTCTTATAACCTCTAGTGGTTATGCAGAATTCAGCAAGGAACTGGTGGGTGGCCAGGTCATTTTATCCATTAGGCATGGTGACTAAGGCATGTGAGCTTTGTTAGCGACCACTGGAAAGTTTGGTGTGTGTGCTGCTGGTGGTGGTGGTGGTGGTATTGGTGGTAGAGTATATAGTTATGTTGTTTTGTTTGAGTTACAGTCTTATTCTGTCACCAGTGCAGTGGTATGCTCATGGCTACCGTGACCTTGACCTGCTGGGCTTAAGCGATCCTTACGCTTCAGTCTCCCAAGTAACTGAAACTATAGGCACATGCCACCATGCCTGGCTAATTTTCTGATTTATTGTAGAGACAAGGTCTCGCCAAGTTGCCTAGGCTGGTCTCAGATCCCTGGGCTCAGACAATCCTCTCACTGCCGTCTCCCAAAGTGCTGGAATTACAGACTTGAGCCACCGCACCTGACACAGTTATGTTTTTATACCTGTGTGTGTGTATGTGTGTGTGTGTATTTCAGAATTTGAAGGAAAAATACAGAATTATAATTAACAAATATTTAAGTAAATTTTTACAAAGTGATATTAATTACTAAGCTGCATGTAAGTTAATCACCTGTATAGATTAATGTAGGATGTGTGTGCCTCTTAATATTTTAAATAAGAAGTGGGAAGTAAATAAGAGTGCCTCGTGTCCCTGAAGACATCTCTGCTGTTTGGTGTGGGCTTTAGAAGTTGAGATGACGAATTGATTTTAGGTGTCTTACCTCTGAGTAATAGCTTCATTTTACTGGCTTTTCAGACTCTGTTTACAGAGTTAATGGTTTTCTTTTAGACAAAAACAAATAGTAAAACTTTATAATCCAATTTATTTCAAGCTATTTCTTTGGCTTGATTTAATTTTGTGCTATTTTCCATGATGACAATAACACCATGCTCTCTGTAAAGATTTATGAATTTATTCACCAAAATGAAATTTTACATACTGAGATTTTTTGCTTTCATTATTGTGAGGTTGATTTTATTGCTTCATAAAAAGTAGAAGGAGTTTAGTTTATCTAGATATCTTCTCATTTTTTTCAGGACACCTTTTTCTACTCATTGGTCTATGACCCCTCACTAAAAACACTACTAGCCGACAAAGGTGAAATCCGCGTGGGACCTAGATACCAAGCAGACATTCCAGAAATGCTCTTAGAAGGTATGGTTTCTTGGGGTTTTGCATCCTATGAAAATAAATATATCGTGAAAATCACATATTTTTGTCTTCATGTGGAAGAAGCAACATTTGGGGCAAGGTTTAGAGGTGATAAGCACATCCCCAGTTGTGGAAGTCCAGGCATGCTTCATTTAGTACGTACTTCACTTTATTGTGCTTCACAGGTATTTACTTTTTTTTGCTTGTTTCTTTTCTTTTTTTTGAGTTGGAGTCTCACTGTCACCCAGGCTTGAGTGCAGTGGCATGCTCATGGTCACCACAGCCTCAACCTGCTGGGCTCAGGTGATCCTTCCACTTCAGCCTTTGACGTAACTGGAACCACAGGCGCGCACCACCATGCCCGGCTAATATTTTGTTTTATATTCTTGCCAAGTTGCCCATTCTGGTCTCTAATCCCTGGGCTCAGGGATTCCTCTCACCTTGGCCTCCCAAATTGCTGGGATTACAGGCATGAGCCACCCTGCTCGGCAGGCTTAGCTTTTTTTTTAATTGAAGTTTTGTGGCAACTGTGTTGAGCAAGTCCAATAACACCATTACACCAACAGCATCTGCTCACTTTCTGTCTGTGTGTGACATTTGGGTAATTCTTGAGACATTTCATATCTTTTCGTTATCATATCTATTATGGTGGTCTGTGATCCGAGATCTTTGATGTTACTGTAGTGACTGTTTTGGGACACAACAAATGGCAGCCATGTGGGATGGTGGCCTTGATAGATTAATGTGCGTGTTCTCTTCTCTCCCTCCTCTGAGGCCTCCCTGCTCCCCGAGACACAGCAATACTGAAATTAAGCCAATTAATGACCCTATAGCAGCCCCTTACGTGTTTAGTGCAAGGAAGAGCTGCACATCTGTCACTTTAAATGAAAGGTTGGAAATGATGAAGCTTAGTGAGGAAAGCATGTTGAAAGACAAGACAGGCCAAAAGCCAGGACTCTTGCACCAAACAACCAGTTTGGGAATGCAAAGAAAAATTTTCGCAGGAAATTAAAAGTGCTACTCCAGTAAACACATGAATGATAAGAGCAAAATAGCGTAATATTTGATATACAGAACGTTTTAGTGTTTGGATAGAAGATCAAACCAGCCTCAACATTCCCTCAAGCCAAAGCCTAATCCAGATCAAGGCTCCAACTCTGTTCAATTCTATAAAGGCTGAGAGGAGTGAGGAAGTTGCCAAAGGAAAGTGTGAAGCTAGCAGAGGCTGGTTGGTGAGGTTTAAGCAAAGATGCTGTCTCTATAACAAAAGTACAAGATGAGGAAGCACGTGCCAATGGAGAAGCTGCAGTAAGTTATCTAGAAGATCTAGGTGAGCTCATTGAAGGTGGCTGTGTTAAACAGCAGATTTTCAATGTAGATGAAGCAGCTTTATATTGCAAGAAGATGCCATCTGGGACTTTCACAGCTGGAGAGAAGTCAATGCCCAGCCTCAGAGTTCCAAAGTACAGGCTGACTTACTTGTTAGGACCTAATGCAGCTGGTGACTTTATGTTGTTGTGGTCATGCCTGCTAACACAGTGTCTACTCTGCAACTCATGGGTCAAGGAATGATTTTGATTTTCATGTCTTATTATTAAGAAATACATTTCATGAGGCTGTAGCTGCCATAGATAGTGATTCCTCTGATGGGTCTGAGCAATGTAAATTGTAAACCTTTTGGAAAGGATTCACCATTCTAGATGCCATTAAGAATGTGTGTAGTTGATAGGATGCCAAAATATCATCATGAACAAGAGTTTGGAAGAGGATCCCAACCTTCGTGGATGACTTTGAGGGGTGCAAGACTTCAGTGGAGGAAGTAACTGCAAATGTGATGGAAACAGGAAGAGAACTAGAATTTAGATTTGGAGTGTAAAGGTGTGATTGAATTGCTGCAGTCTTATGATAAAACTTGAATGGATGAGTTGTTGCTTTTTATGGATGAGCAAAGAAAGTGGTTTCTTAGCTGGGCACGGTGGTTCATACCTGTGATCCCAAGCACTGTGGAAGTCTGAGGCGAGAGGATTGCCTGAGCCCACGAGTTTGAGACCAGCCTGGGCAACATGGTGAGACTTTGTCTCCACAATAAATCAAAAAATTAGCCAGGCATGGTGGCACACACTTGTGGTTCCAGCTATTTGGAAGGCTGAGGTGGAAGGATTGTCTGAGCCCACCAGGTCAAGGCTGTGGTGACCATGAGCGTGCCACTGCACTCCAGCCCGGGTGACAGAGTGAGACTTGGACTCAAAAAAAAAAAAAAGATCGTGGCTCCTTGAGGTCGAATCTACTCTTGGTGAAGCTGCAGTGAATGTTGTTGAAACAACAGCAAAGCATTTAGAATAAAGCAGCAGCAGAGTCTGAGAGGATTGACTCCAATGATGACAGAAGCTCTTCTGTGGTTAAAATACTGTCAAATAGCATTGCATGCTACTGAGAAGTCTTTCATGAAAGGAAGTGGTCACCGATCCGGCAAACATCACTGTCGTCTTATTTTAAGAAATTGCTGCAGTTACCCCAGCCTTCAGCAGCCTCCACCCTCACTGGGCCGCAGCTGTCACCCGGAGGCAGTACACCCACCAGTAAAAAGAGTGTAACTTACTAGAGCCTCAGACCATGTTTAGCATTTTTTAGCATTAATGTATTTTTAAGTTAAGGTATGTATATTGTTTGTAGACATTTTATTGCACACTAAATAGACTATGGTATAGTGTAAACATAACTGTTATATGCATTGGAAATCAGAAAATTTGCTTTATTGTGGTGGACTGAAACAGACCTGCAGTAACTCCCAGGCTTGCTTGTATAAAAAATGACAGTGGTGAATCATTTATTCAAGCAATTTTTTTTGACTTTGCACTTTTTTGAGTTTTATGGCTGTGTTTTTCTTTCGTGTTTTTTTTTAATTTTTATTTTTTTAGGGATAGAGTTTCACTCTGTTGCCCAGGCTGGAGTGCAGTGGCATGATCATGGCTCACTGCATCCTCAAGCTCCTGGGCTGAAGTGATCCTCCTATCTTAGCCTCCCAAGTAGCTGAGATTACAGGCACATGCTACCACTTCCAACTAATTTTTAATTTTTTTGTTGAGATGGGGTCTCACTCTGTTGACCAGGTGAGTCTCCAGCTCCTGGCCTCAAGTGATTATCCTGCCTCAGCTTCTCAAAGTGCTAGGATTATGCGCACAAGCCATTGCAGTCTGGCCTCTTGTGCATTTTCTACTTGATTACTTATATTTTATTTATCGGAAGAGCTCTTTGAATATTAAAGGTATTTGTCCTTTGTTCAAGGTATTGCAAATATTTCTCCCGTTTTGTTCTTTGAATTTTGGGGTTTTTATTTATTATTATTTCGCTAGCTTTGGTGGCGGTACAAATTTTTTTTGTTACATGATTGCATTGTATAGTGGCAAAAAAAAATCTGGACTTTAATTGTACCCGATAGGTGCTTTTTTGTGTCCCTTCACCCCTTTCTCCACCCCCTTCTGAGTCTCCAGTGTCCATCATACCTTTGTCTGTGTCTTTGCAGATCCTAAGCTTAGCTCCCACTTGTACGTGAGAACACACGGTGTTTGGTTTTCTGTTCCTGGATTAGTTCACTTAGGGTGATGTTCTTCCATTCCATCCAGGTTGCTGCAAAAGACATTGTTTCCTTCCTTTTGATGCTGAATAGTATTCCATGGTGTATATAGATCTCATTTTCATTATCCCTGCTTAGTTGATCAGGATTGTTATTTGTTTCTTAAGAAAAATTTGCCGGGCACAGTGGCTCACACCTGTAACCCCAGCACTTTGGGAGAGTGAAACAGGAGGTTTGCTGAATTCCAGGAGTTGGAGATCAGCCTGGGCAATATAGCAAGAACTTATCTCACAAAAATTAAAAATAAAAAAATAAGTAAAATAAACTTATTAAAAATTTTTAAAAGTGATTTCATTTTAAGTTTACTTGTTGGTTTTGAGTCAGGGTCTCACTCTGTCGCCCAGGATAGAGTGCAGTGGCACAATCATAGCTCACTGCAGCCTCAAACTCCTGGGCTCAAGTGATCTTGCTGCCTCAGACTCCTGAGTAACTGGGACTACAGGTTTGTGCCACAGCACCTGGCTAATATTTTGATTTTTGTAGAGATGAGTCTCACTATGTTTCACAGGCTGGTCTCAAACTCCTAGACTCAAGCAATCCTAAAGTACTGGGATTGCAGAAGTGAGCCACTGCACCTTGCCTAAATTTAAGTTTATTTATTTATTTATTTTTGCCATATGGAAATTTAGAATTTATTATTCTTTTTCTTTAAGGCCTTTACATTTTGTATTGTATACCAAAAGGTTTCCACTTACATTTCTGATGTCTGATTATTAAAACTTGTAAGCTTCATCTCTACAGTAAATCAAAAAAATAGCTGGGCATGGTGGCACGTGCCTATAGTTCCAGCTACTTGGAAGGCTGAGGCAGAAGGATCGCCTGACCAGCAGGTCAAGACTTTGTGGCCGTGAGTGTGTCACTGCATTCCAGCCTGGGCGACTGAGACTCTAACTCAAAAAAAAACAAAAATGAGCTCTTCCATAGGCTCTTTTCTGTTTTTTCCATGTCTTACTTCTAGAATATTGATGCTGAGAAGTTAAATCAGCAGATACCCAGGATAGATTTTGCGAACCATAGCACCCAGTGGTGACACTGTTTGGTCCGTAGGATGGCTTTGCATTATGCCTGGCTGCAGACTTCTGTATTTTGAGCTGGTTAGTCACTGATGATAACGTTTAGAGAACAGAAGGCGTTGTCTGTGCCCACTTGTGTTGAGGAGTCTTTTTGAACAGATTGTGAGTAGAGTTATGGTATTATGGCTTGGGAGATTGCATTCATTGGCATTCCAATCTGTGTGACTCACCTTGTCTTCTAGAACTAATTCAGGTGTTTATGGCTGTTAGTACTGGATACTAGACCTATCACATCACACTTAAGTATTCACTGAATACTTAACTATATTCTTAAAAAACACTGGATTTTAAAATTT